TTGGTGGAGGTGATTGCTTTACATTTACATGTCTAGCTTTTACATTTGTTTGCTATTATGGGCTGCTCACTTTGGGCCCTATTTCATTGTAATTTTCTATTATAGAATTGGGCTTTTGCTTGGCCATTTTAGACTCTTTTTTAGAGTTGTCATTACCTTGTAATAGCTTTCTCTTTTTATGAAATTTACTTTGACTAACCCAAAAATAAAAAATAAGAAATAAAATAAAATAAAGCCCATCAATACGATACATTATGAAATCTACATGCGGTTGAATATTTTAATGGAGAGAGTGTTAGTTTTTCGTTCATGTGTTCCAAGTTTGAAATTTTCTAAATTATTGTAATAGTTTCAAATCCTCACCTTCCCTTAATAATAATAAATTTTAAAAAAGGGCACATTATGAAATAATATCAATTAGCAAGTGGCCCTTTACCCTACGACAGTGGTAGAAAGGTGTTAAGTCCTTGCATGACGGCATGGGTTCATATCTCATCGGTGGCTAATCTAACAAAATATATCGTTTGACCAAAAAAAAAAAACATCTATTAGAACATATAAACTAAGAAAACGTCTTATATTACAATAAAAATTCACACCAAACACATTACATAGCGGGAAATTTTATTTGAACCCAATTATCTTATTTCTACGCCTAACTAACAAGTTTTACCCACCAAACTTCCAAGTTTACCCTTAAATAAATAAGAATAAGAAAATAAACATTGGTGTTTTTTATCTATACACCCCATAACTCCAAAACTAGTACACCAGTGCACTCCTCCATTATTTCCGGCAGCCCACCCAAATAACAGCAAAATATTCTCTCAAGTTAGTCAACGAGTCAGCTTGTTAGAAACCCTTATCAGCCCTTATTTATAATTTCAGCATAGGTTTTCGACTATATGTTTGCTTGTTTGAACCATTATCTAGGAGTTGGCTATTTGCATAAATTATTAAAACTAACAAGTTAGCTTGCATAAATTATTAAAGCTTCCATGTCAGTCAGTGTCTATTTAGAAGAGATAGCAACAAGGGTAAGAAGTTTTCTTCTAAATAGACAAAGCCTTTGTCGCCATCTCTTCTAAATAGACGACACTAACTGACATGAAAGCTTTTTTCTCTTATTGCAGGACTTTGTTTCATGTCCAACGAATTGGTAAGAAGTTTTCTTCGCTCAAATTATAGATGAGGGCCGCTAGGGGTTTCATGCAACAAGGGTTTCTAGCAACCTTACTTGTCGATGAGCTCAGGAGAATATTTTGTTGTTATTTGGGTGTGTTTTGCTGGAAATAATGGAGGAGTGCATATGTGTGCCATTTTTTTGAGTTATTGGGTGTAGAGATAAAATCACCAATGTTTATTTTCTTTTATTTTCTTATTCTTATTTATTTAAGGGCAAACTTGAAAGTTTAGTACATAAATTTTTTTAATTAGGTGTAGAGATAGGATAACTGGGTCCAAATAAAATTTCTCTCATATAACGTCCAATCATACTACAAAAGAAAGCATACATACCAAATATGTAACTGATTTGTTAGTTAGTCCAATCATACTACAAAAGAAAGCATACATACCAAATAAGTAACTGATTTGTTAGTTAGTACCGTCGCGGTTTAAAAAAGAAAGAAAGATTTGTTAGTTGATTTTCAAACAGAAGAAAGAAGTCAAAGTATTTTTATGAACATAGCGTGTCGTTATCGTGTTTTGCAAATGAATACTAAAAGCTACATTAGGGTTTCCAACATTAGTACTTAAAAGTCCATATGAATTCTATGAACAATGCGTGCTCGGCACCATCAAACATGGACTGTCTGCAAGTACTTCATCATCAATGCTTGAATCATCTTTCACATTCGTTGCTTCTCCAACTTCGTTTGCAACCCTTACGGCAGTCAGAGAGGGATTTTAGTTCTAATATTGAAGGAAACTCAACAAATTAATGAAAGTGTCGTTTGCTTCCTTCTTCCTTGTGGGCACTTTCCTGCCGGTTTTACTTGCGGAGCAATCAAGCTATATAAATCCGAATCACTGTGACTACCGCCAAATGAACGAAGAGTTGGATTTCTAAACGGATTCATCGTGCAGGATTGCTGAATATATAGTCTTGTAGTTTGTCCCATATGCCAGAGAAAGATAGAGACAACGAGGAAGATTTTTACAGTTCGCCTGCACACGTTTTCCCCGAGTTCAATTCCGCATTCTCAAACGCACTTGTATAAAAGAAAAAACAACCATGTTGGTTGGGACTTAAGAAGTTGTGTCCATCCAGTTGAAAAGGATTAAGGATTCTTTTGGAATCGAATTCAATGGGTCCCTCGTGATTACCCAGAGTAGAACTAAAGGCGTGTTTACTAATTCGTAATCAAATTAAGAGGAATTGAATTGATGAGGAATTTGAATGAGGAGGAATTGAAATGAGATGGAATCAGAATCAGATTCCTATTTATTGAAGTTGTTTAATAAATAAGTCTGGAATCAGAGTAGAAATGATGTTGAATCCATATAAGTTGTGTCTAATTCAGTTCAATCGGAATGAAAACTAGCTTGATTACTAAAATATCCTTAATTTATAATAGACAATTTTTTTTAAAAAAAAAAAAAAAACAATTTCACACTAGTATATGTGTTTTAAAGAGTTAAAACTCAACAGAAATTTCTGGAACCTCCACGGTTCCACCAGAACCCTCTAAACTATACTCTCCCTCTGCATCCTCCTCAATTTGTTTCTCCGATCATCCCTAAACACCAACTCCTGTTACTCATGACGCGTCAACCTCCCTCTGCATCTCCCTCCCTCCCTCCATTCGGGTTTAGATTTGGGTTTTTTGGGTAGAACTTTTGGGGTGGGTTGGTGAAGGGTATTGGCACTTTGGCAGTCTGGGAGGTGTTGCGATGGTATGTGTTGGTTCAGGGATGGGGTTGAATCTGAAAAGGCTGTTTCGGTCAAAAATTCTAATTTCGGATGTTGGTTTTCTCGCGGAATTCAAATACCTTATCCAAGTCAGTAATTCAATTCCGGGAATATCAAGAGTTTGATTCCTGATTTTGGGTGGAGCCCACTAATATTTTGCATTCCTAAAATTTGGTAAACGCCAAAATCACCCACAGAAGAATTCGATTCCCTTTTTTCTCCGTATGTGTAAACATGCCTTAATAGGTTGAAATGCCAGGATTGGGGCCTGCGACCAGAGTTGGGGCAATGAGTTGACAGTTGATGTGGTAGATCCAACCCAAGGTTACCCTGCATTTGCAGGATTCTAATCTTGAAGCCCAAGGTTACCCTGCATTTGGAAGATTCTAATCTCAATGGTCTTAATGTAAATGTACAAAAAAATGGGACAATACTTGGGTACTCACTGGGAGAGAATTGGATCCACTTCGGACTTTAGTGTCAGGAGCCTAGGAAATCATCCAGACCACTGATTGGTGTGTAAAAGAAATCAAAGCTGTTGGTTTTGTGTGGTGAGCTAGGAAAATGAGTTAATGGGGACCATTGGATTGAATTTGTGCAGCCCAGATGATTTGATTCCTAAGCTCTGGACACTAAAGTTCGGAGCAAATCCAATTCCCACTGGGAGTACCCAATTTACTAACTTCATAATGTGGCCCAATGGAAATAGCTCACCTGTCTTCTTTAATAGTGCCCCAAACATTGGTTATCTTTGTAACCAAACATCAATCATCTTCCTCACTCTCAAGCCTTGTTTTCTCCGTGCACCCCAACAGCAACCCCATAAAAAAGAACTGGAGTGGGATTGGTATCTAAGAAGCCTAGTTGGGATTGCCATCAAAGAGATGGTTGACGTTGGACTCGTCAGCGAACAAAGGGGTTGGGGTAGTTGAGGTCATCAGAAGAGAGATGGGTGGAGTTAGGGTTGTTGAGGAAGGAAGGGATTGGGGCGAGCTCGCCAATGAAGAGAGGGTTTGGGGGTGGGCTAACCGATGGAGAGAAGGATTGTGGTGGGCTTGCTTAGAAACTAAGGGATTTAGGGTTGGTCTCACTGAATAAAAGAGGTGTTGTTCTCATTAGGAAATAGAGGGATAAAATCGCCGGAGAAGAGAGTGGGTTGTCTGCACAGGAAGAAGATGATGTTTGTTTGGTTACGAAGATAGTAAAAGTTTTGAGTGGAACTCATTTGACATGTGTTAAATATGTATTGGGCCATGTAGGATTCTCTTTAGTTGGGTACTCTTCAGTGAGTGGAAAAGGAAAGGGATCCTCTCCGGATCCCTTCCTCCTAATTCACTAAATCCGGAGATCCGGGGCATTGAAATTTGATCCAACGACTAAATCTATTATAACTTTTAAGTGAACCCCTGTTTGTAACCGTTTGATCAAATTTCAATGGCCCTAATCCCCAAACTTGGTGAATTAGGAGGAAGGAATTCGGAGAGGATCCCTTTCCAGTGGAAAAGGATTCTCGCCGAATTCTTTTCCTGGGGATCACGTGATTATGATCGTTCATTGTACATCGTGCGATCAGAAATCATTTTAAATTTTAAAATTTAAATTAAATATAAATAGAACTTAACGAAAACTGACCGCACGATGTATGAGGAACAGTCATGATCACGAGATCCTCTGGATCCCTAGAAAAAGAATCCGGCGAGGATCCTTTTTCTCAATGAGTACCAAAATATTGTTCCAAAAAAAAATTGACTAAAATAACATTGAAACGCTAAACCATAACATTCGTTTATAAATGGTGGTACAAACAACAACAGTTCAATTACTTACAAGTAATCATTTGAAATACCAATTGGGAATATATACGAAAATACCTCGGAGGTCCTCTGGCTCATATTTAAAGGTTGGTGCTATCTACACATTCATTTTTACTTTTTATACATCTGTGTTAACTTCTGTCGTTTAATCTCCTTCAATTCATTCTATTTGACAGAAGGCTGGTGTAATCTACACACTCAATTTTACTTTTCATACACGTTAATTTCTGTCATTTAATCTTCTTCATTTCATTCGATTTGACGGCCGATAATTAAAAAGGATAAGAGATGTTTTGATTAGTTGTGGAAGGCTCCCGCGCCATTGTCGTGCAGTTTAATTACTTATTATGACTATAATCTGTACTATATACATCATATGGTATCTACTCCTATTCAAAGCTGCCATTTTTTTTTTTAATGGATAATCACTGAGATTCTAGGTAGGAGCTATGATCTTGTGCGTTAACTCGGCTGGTGAGGGAAGGTCTCATTGTAACAATTGCAGACTCGTTCGCTCCGGCTTTTAGAGCAGCTCTTCCGGCTTCCAGGAACCTCTTGACTGCATCCTCTGCGTAACTGTTGGCTTCACGCACTGTCATGGTTTTGCCGATATCAGGGTAGGTTTTGAGGACATGATCGCCATTAAGCTGGGATGCAAGCTGGATCAGCTCGACTTGGAATTCTGAGAGGCTCGAATCTTCTCTGGGTCCGCCTGGCCTCAGTGACTTTGTCACCTCTGGAAGAGTTTCTGTAACACAGAAATGGATGACAATTAGCATTCAGAACGGAAAATGCAAGGGTGTTAATCAGAATGGAAAATGTAATCAGAAGGATTTGTGCAAACCTGGACAGTCATGACGAGGAGTACTGCGGAGGGTAAAATAATTCTCGAAAGTACCAGCCCATGCATCTCTCTTTGTGAGGAAGTTCGACTTCAAATTGAACAGCTTCTTTACAGTGGCAGGGATAGAAGAATGCTCAAATTGGGAATGTGGCGTCGGCCCTGTTGGCTCATGGATCACTGCACCAAAAATACCAAAAGTCAATAAATAAGCAAAAGGCCCGAACTTAAAATCTCATAGAAACATAAACAAGTACATGCCGCATCAAGCAAGCCAACTAGCTAATGTCTAGCAGTACTTCCCTTTCTATAAGGTTGAAAGAGTTCCCGCCTTCGAATCCTCTCTCCCCATTGATCGACAAATGATAACAAATCATGGTCTCACAACATAGAGAGGAAGGGAAAACAATATCCAACGACATGGTTCTTCATGCAAAGTTATGTTGTCCGAACATTCGGGACAGGCTGAGGACAGTGAATATAAGATTAAAGAAATGATATCGATACAAAGCTTAAGCTTGATCATCCTAATGAGGGTTTTCACTGACTTGAAATGCATAGAATGCGATTCCAGAAATATCATGACCCAATTCTCACAGCTTGGACAAATAAACCATAGGAAAAAATGTCCCTGTTGGTGGCTCACACCTAAACAAGGACAACTTTGTGACACCGAAGAACACTGTCTTCAAATCGAACCCTCCCTCCCCATAACAATGTGCATTGACGTTAAACTGTGAGATAGACAAAAACTAATACACCAGTGTAACGGACACTCAGACCTTAATTATTCAATTAATCTAAAACATCATAATCTACCAATGTCAAATAAATTACAGTTATTTAACTATAACACTATTCATTAATCAGCAATTTGCACTCAATCAAAATAAATAAAAACCACTGGAAAAACCGAGAAGCGGAGAACTCACCGGCACCCTTTTCGACCCATGGCGAGACGAGTATGGTCGGCACCCGCACACCCAACCGGTCAAACCGGAAATAATACGGTTCGTTCCCCTCCATCCCATCCGGGCTCGGCACGTCTGAAACCGGCGTCGGCACGTGGTCGTAAAACCCGCCGTGCTCGTCGTAAGTAATCAGCAATGCCATTTCTTTCCACTGCGGGCTCGCCCTCAGCGTCTCGTACACCTCCTTCACGAACCTCTGCCCGCGCGCCACGTCATGCGACGGGTGGTCGTCGTTGGCGGGAAGCTCCTTGACGTCGAAGTACCTCTGCTCGATCACCGCGTAATTCGGCAGCTTCCCGAGCCGAGCGTGCCGCTTGAAAGTCAGCGCGTAGCTGTGGAATTTCGTCACATGCTTCAGTTTCCTCAGGCTCTTGAAGAAGAGAGTGGCGGGGATGTTCTGGTAATATATACCGAAGTCGAGGTCATTTTCGTCCAGAGAGTCGAAGATCGTTTTCTGAGGGAAGCCGTGGATGAGGTCCTTGCGGACGTTGCTCATGGCGCCGTGTGACGTGGCCGAGTGGACGTAGAACCGGTTCGGCTGAGTTGACGCCGGTACGGAAGCAAACCACCGATCGAACACGGCGAATTCGTTCGCCAACTCGGTGTAGACCGGGAGGACTTCAGGCTTAAACCCGCTCATCACCGTTCTCGCCATCCCCTCGCCCATACTCTCCGCCTGCTGAGCGAACCCGTTCATCGGAGCCGGGTTCTCGCAGCTCTCGTTCGACCCGAATATCTGTTCTCGAATCGCCTGAAACGAGTGGCCTGGGTCGGAGTCGACGAAGAAGGCGTCGCTGGAGACGCGGACTCGGGGCGAGCCGGGTTCCGAGACGGAAATCGGGTTCGATTCGTTCCCGTTCAAGCCGTCGATATCGGGTCGGGTCGCCTTAAGCCAGCCGAAGATGTGGTCAAAGGAGCGGTTTTCCATGACCACGACGACCACCGTTTTAATGGGTCCCTTGATTTTGGGGGTTTTGCGTGCCGCAATGAATTGAGTGGAGACCAACAAGAGGTGGAAGAAAAAGAGAGCCCAGGTGATGCGTTTTCGCCGGAAAGCCATTGCCGGGGACTGGAACTTGGAGAACCCGGTAAAACCCACAGAGATAAAGCGAAAGGCTGCGGCTTTGAAGTGTAAATTGTATGTATTTGTAGAGAAAAATGGTGGGAAAAGGTATATGCTTTGAGGATAAACCACCTTTCGAGTCGTTTTCTTCTGAATCCAACACCTCAGAGAAAGATAAGATAGCGATCGTCGAGAAAGACTTTGTCTGAGACTTGTCTTGGGAAGACACTACTCTGGGGGAGTTGTGAAATGGGACATTTTTTTTCTGAGATGGAGTTGGAAACACGTAAGGCCATAAAGCATAAAGGAAGAACTGAGTTAGGGCCGAGTGGCTTTTCGAGAAGCAGAATTTTAAACTTCCGAGGGCATCTTTCATCAATTTTTGACCATCAATCAAATAAATCGAAATAAATTAAATAACAAAAATTAACAAGAACAAAGTTAAAATTAAGTGCACGAATAATACTAACCCACTTTAATACAAAGAAAAAAAATATAGTATTTGCCTATATTTTTTCGCTTGTTTTATGTCTTTCGTTTGGATATCGAACGCTTTAAAATATCTGTTGTTAGTAAGATGAGCTAAGGTTTGTTCTTTACTGATTAAATATTGCGGTTGTATAGAAATACTCGTCATCACAAACTATGTAAATTAATTAAGTATAAGGCCACTTGTAACATAAATATTATATACCCGTGACGTGCTATTCATTCTTATTGGAACAAATGTAGAAGAAATTAAGGACGGCTGTGCCGTTGATGCATGTGAGTTAGTCCAACATTTTGTTTTGCATACGAATGTCTGGATACGATACCTTTCACACATTACGTGCAGGGACGATACCAGAGATTTGTATGAATGAGGGCATCCTCAAATAACAAAGTCACAATTAAAAAACTCAAGAATTTATTGAACAAAACACTATATATTAATCTATAAAGTTTTTCATATAACATATTACAATATTTCTTGACACGTTTTCATGTTTTAAAAGCGTTGTATGACAACATCATTACAATATCTCTTTTTGTAAAAATAACCAAGTTATTATTAATTCATTGATCTCTAAATTAGAAAGCTAAATTTTAAATTGTAATGCTAAGAACGAATTAATGAAGTAAAGTCAAAATACCTTGTGAAGTAAAGTTTTTGAGTTGAATTTTGATATTAATTGAACTCCAACTGTCTATATACTCTAAATTCAATTGAGTTTTAGTAGAATGAAGGAGGAGGAAAAACTTGGAGAAGATGAGGAGAATAATTGTTTTGCCGTGGTGGGATGAGTTTTGTGAGGATTAGTAACCCAGGGTTTGGAAAACAAGGAGGCGTAGTTTTTTTTTTTTGTTTGCAAATGATATTATCTACACTAAAAAAGAGGCGAACTTAGCCTCACAACTGAGATGCGCAATTATATTAACTTTTAATTAAATTTTCAAGGTCATTGGGGATGAAAAACAGTAAATTTAGGTTAGTTGTAGTTTAATTAGATTGGAATGCAAACTATACATTTTTTTTTTTTTGTAAATCTAGACTTACGCTAGCTCTGTCCTTGAGTAGGTGGGCACAATTTGAATTTTACATGCAAGAGTCTCGCTAATTCTGTGAGAGGTGTCGCATACAGATAGTATAACCGAATAAAAAATTAGAGAAAAAAATTAAATTAAGTAATAACTAATCAATTACACACATTTGACCGCGTCCTTAGCATTGACCTTAAAGTGAATCCAGAATGTTTCACACGCTGAAGGTGGTTGATATAGTTGGCACATATTGTCAAAACTTCAAATCTACCAAAATAATGAAAAGGACCCAAAGGCCAAAGGTCTGTATTTACTTGAGTACCACATTTATAATATCATATTTGGAATATAAAAAATTCGCATTTTTGCTCTCTACCCTCGAGCTGTAGTACTGATCAACCCTACTTATTATCATTTGATGAATTCTATTTTGAGATTTTCGTCTATCAACCACACATATCTCAAAATTTAAACTAATCCGACAAAACATGAAAATCCTATTGAAATTTCGGAAGTGTTCCTCCCCTTGATTTCGGACCTCTATTGATTTGGTTAATTATTTCAATCTGTTTGTGTTCGGACACTGACATGTTCGGTTTCCAGGTATAGCATTTTGCATTAAACATAGAAACCCAACAGAACAAATCAGGATATCTTAGATGAGTGCGAAAGGGGTACCAACCGTTCGTATATCCATATGTCAACAGGTTTAGGCCACCCTCAACAGGCTTACTTCCATTAGCCTTATTGCCACCCATATTATCCGGTAATTTTACTGGAGAACCTGCAGGTACAAGAATGAGGCTGAAAGAGTTGAAAACCAAGAAAAGAAAGCCTCAAGAGATATCGTGGTTTCGTATAACTCAAAGAAAATGTTTCATGTTGGTTGATGCTGATGGGCTGAAAAATATGCGATTGTTTGGAGACAATCACAAAGGGTGTCGCTGGTTGTTTCTGGACAGAAGATGGTGGTGGATCCTGGGGAATGGGAGCATAACCACCAAACAAGATCCATAATTCACCCACTTCCGGATCACCAACAAACTTTCCATCCTCTGCAGCACTTTAGCAATCAACAATTGTATGGCTTTGTTAAAGAAAAACTAGGCCAGCCTACAGTTGCCACCGCGCATTGTTTCCTGATGCTTGTTCTCTTTGATGTGTTGAACAAGAACCACCTCCAAGGCCTTGGCTCTTTCTTGTATGCTAGAGTTGCACCCACTAAAGAGGAAAACTTTTGATGCAGTATCAAGTACGAATGCGTCATTGTGGTTTAGTGATGACGGAGAAAAAGGAACCTGGTTGACGATATAAATTCTGATGAGAGGTCTCGAAGAAACAACGGCAGTAAATGCAAAAGAGAAAAAAAGAACCTTACTTCTTTAACGTGAACAACATAGTCCCCTTTGCAAGCTAACAAGCTGATTTTATATGTGTTCACTATTTAAGTGCTCTTGTTGTGATGTATTTATATGCTCCTTCAATGGGGATAATGCAGGGTTTGAAGTACGATAAAAACTTGTGTGTTTCATGGCCTTGAAGCTCCCTATATTTTCAGGGGTGTATTCAATTGAAAATTTGAGGGATTTTCGTCTAAAATTTATAGTGTATTTAATCAAGATTTTGAGATAGTTTATTAAAATCTTTAGAAATCCGGATGTATTTAATTCGAGAGAATTGGGAAGATTTCGTGGTATACTTATCTCTTTCCATGAGATTTCAAGGGAATTCCATCAAAATCTTATATGAAATCTCTACAAATCAATTAAACTCCATAAAATCCATGAATTCATAAATTTTATTAAAATTTTCAAATTCACAATGGAAGGACACTCCCTTCAAGTTGATGGAATCGGATCCCCTCCGGACCTAAAGGAATTGAGCCCAAGGATCAACTGATCGGGGCCATTGAAATTTGTTCCAACTGTAACAATTATTATAACTTTTAAAGGAACCCCTGTTTGTAGCCGTTGAATCAAATTTGAATGGTTCGGATCATTTGATGAGTGAACTCAGTTCTTTTGGGTCTGGAGGGATCCGGTTCCCAAGTTGATTGAAAAATCGGCTAACTGTAAAGGGCCTTGTTGGGCTAGTTCAAGCTCAATATGAAACTGCACACATAATGGGCCGAGAGTCCAAGCCCAATAAGACCTCGCTCAGATTTCCCCCGTCTTCAGCAATCCAAAACTACATAGAAGTAGAACAGTGTTCTGCAAAATTTAGGGTTTAAGGTCAGGACCCTGAGAGAAAGAAAGCAGAAAATCTTGGCGGAATCAGAACGATGAACCCGCTAACCCTAGTGAAACGCATTCAGAACATCAATTCCAGAGAAGCCCAATTAGGGATTTCAGAGGAGGCTTCGTGGCACGCCAAGTACAAAGACTCCGCCTACGTCTACGTCGGTGGCGTTCCCTTCGATCTCACCGAAGGCGATCTCCTCGCCGTTTTCGCACAGTAAGCACTAATTCCCCTTCAGTTAGTTCCAAATTTTCTAAATTTGTTGACGTTCGATTCGGTTTCAGATACGGAGAGATCGTGGATGTGAATCTTGTTCGCGATAAGGCGACTGGGAAATCCAAGGGGTTTGCGTTTGTGGCGTACGAGGACCAGAGGAGCACTATTCTTGCTGTGGATAATTTGAACGGAGCTCAAATTTTGGGGCGGACAATTAGGGTTGATCATGTGACTAAGTACAAGAAGAAGGAGGAGGAAGATGAAGAGGAGGCGCAGCGGAAGAGGGAGGAGCGGGGTGTTTGCCGGGCTTTCCAGAAAGGCGAATGCACTCGTGGAGATTCGTGCAAGTTTTCGCATAATGAGCAAGTAAGTTATACATTATCTGATTGATTCAGTTTTCCGCTGACTGCACATTGATTCTTACACTGTTCTGATTGATTCAGTTTTCTGCCAACTGCACATTGATTCTTACACTGTTACTTGGCTTTTGGGTGAATAAGTATAATTGGTAATGTAGTTTGATTGTTATTTATTGCAATGAAAAGGAGGTTGGTTTCTGTGTGCTACTTAAGTTTGAGATGTTTTAAAGAAGTTTGAAGTTGAGTCGTTGATCTGAGTTTATGCACTGAATCGTTTATGTTAGTTGTAAAGGTCTACGTTTTATATAAAATCAATGAATATCTCTATGTATAAGTGCTTATGTGTGCTTTTTTCTGTTTGTATCCAGAGAGCTGCAAACACAGGTTGGGGTGAAAAAGACCCAAAATGGGGGCGTGACAGTTATGAGGGCCCAAAAAGGGGTGATAAAAGATCTAGCTTCATTCCGCCAAATCGTGTTCCAGGGCCAAAAGTTCAGGAAGAGTTCAGATCAGGGGATAGAGATTTGGACTACAGAGGAAAGGGCAACGGGAGGGACTTCGAAAGTCATCCCAAGCGAAGTGATGGGAGGGAGCAAAAGAGACTGGGTAGACAGGGGGGTGATGATGAAAAGTTTAAACCTAGATCAAGAGATCATGATAGGGAGGAAGAAAATATATCAAGAAGACGGAGTGTGGATGATGAATCGGGGCCCAATTCAAGAGAACATTATGGTAGGAGAGAAGAACAGAGATCGAGAAGGCACAATGATGATGAGTTTCAGCCAAAGTCAAGAGAAGATTATGATAGAAAGAAAGATAAAAGACCCCGAAGGTGTGGTGATGATGAGGAACTTGAGCCAAAGCTGAATTCTAGAGAAGATCATGATAGGAGGGGAGATGATAGAAGGGAAAATAAGAAACTGAGAAGGCATAGTGATGATGGTGAATTTGAGCTCAAATCTAAAGAAGATCGTGGTAGGAGGGAAGATGATAGTAGGGAAGATAAGGAACTAAGAAGGCATGCTGGTGATGCTGATTTTGATCCAAAATCTAGTGACAATCATGATAGGATGGATGAAAAGAGATTGAGAAGGCACAGTGGTTATGAAAATCGTCCGAAGTCCAGAGAAGATTATGATAGGAGGGAAGAACAGAGGCAATGCCGATGAATTTGATCTGAAGTTGAGAGCAGGCCAGGATAAGAGGGAAGGAGAGAGACAGAAGGGATGAAGATGCTGAGGTTCAGCCAAAGTCTTGTCGTATGAGTGAAAAGGGAGACTGAGTAGATGGGTGTGATGATAATCTAGGCCAAGATCAAAACTTAGATCATTGAAAAGAAGGGAAGAGAAGAATACAAGTACCACAAAGGAAGGACCAGAATCCTATATGGAAAAATATTGATACAAGAGGGGACACATTAATGAACTAATGGGTAACAACCATCACAAAAAGAGAAATAATGATTTAAATCAAATATGGTGCTCTTTCCATCTTTGGCATCCCTTGTGTGCAATAAGATCACTCCTGTTAAGCAATGTGAGACTTGTTTCTTTTTTCTTGTGTAAGCTAATATCCTAACTATGTTTCCATTGATTTGTTGTGTTTGTTTTTTCTATTAGGTTTTTGTTGGTGTTTCTCTTGGATGAGATTTAATTGATATGTGCATTTGACTAGCAATGTTGTAACTCTGCATAAAATCATTTCTTGATTTGCAGTTTATCATGCTTGCTGAAGTCCATTTGAATAGGAGAGTTGTATGTGTATTGCCGAGAGTATCCCAGCACCTGAATTAGTTTGCATGATTTGTTGATGCCATTTGATGATTGGATTTGGTGGTTGGTGCAAACTTTTCACAGGAACAGTTTGTAGTTTAACTTTGGGCTGAAATTTGCAGGTAAAACCACTGTATGAAGAATTGGCCAGGATCAGTGGAACATACGGGTTGGTATGTTTCAATTCATTAAAAGTGCTTGTCGGTTATTGTGCTATTAATTTATATATAGTTAAAAATCACAAAACAGAGAGGCCTGCTCAAGGTGAGCAAATACATAGTTAAAAAAAGTGGCAGTCAACCAAGTACTGAAGCTATATTTACAATTACATACCGGTTTCTTCTCCAGTCCCAGTTAGGACAGAAACAAAATGGTAAGGGTTCTTGCTAACAAAAAGAAGTAAAGAAAGTAGTGACTTGACTCATCAAGAATTCTGCTTATCTGTTGAATCAGTTCCAATTGAGCCATAAGTGGTCATCGGTGTTCCTAGTTCTTTTCGCGGGGCTTCTCCAGAAGACATTGATGTTCCAAGTTCTCTTGGAAGTGCTTCTCCAGTGGACAGCGGTTTTCTAAGTTCATTTGGGAGTGCTTCTTCAGAAGACGGGTTTTCTAAGTTCATTTGGGAGTGTTTCTTCAGTAGACATTGGTTGATCGGGTAGTACTGCTTGAGAAGACATTGACTTTACAAATTCTTTTTGCAGTGCTTCTTCAGAAGGCATCAAATTTCCTAGTTCTTTGGGTTGTTTTTCAGAAGACATTGATTTTCTAAGTTCTTTTGGCAGTGCTGCTTCAGAAGACATTGGTATTCCAAGTTCGTTAGAATTCATCGATTTTCCAAGATCATTGGATGTTGCTTCTGCAGGAGATATGGATTTTCCTAGCTCTATGGGTGGTGATTCTTTAGAAGGTAGTGGTGTTCCAAGTCCTTTGGGCAGTATTGCTTCCTCACATGACACCGCTTGCATTGCAGTTAAACTAGGCACTAGAACAGGACTGATTTCATAAGTAGGCAAGGCTTCATCTTCTTCTTCTTTCGGACTTTCAGAAATCTTTCTCGTTGAGGTTGTCGGGGTTGACTTTTTTATAGATTCCTCTTTCGCGGCGCTACCACCATAGTCTAAAACGCCTACTTCCTTCCTTATACCGAGCAAAGTTCCATCTGCTGATTTGATAGTCTTCTCTTCAATTACGACCTCGTTGTTGCTGTTAAATGGTGGTTTTTCATCCACCGAGGCAGGTTTATCTGTAAAATTTGCACCCTTGTTCGCATTCAACAGAAGTTCTTGATCTTCAGGATGGGTAACATTCCCGGGAATGATCGGTCCCACGTCGAGGTTTACAAGTAATGCCTCGTTTTCATTTGTAATTTGCACTTCGCTTATCTTCTGAAGTTCATGGTCGATCCAGTCTTCATCAATGGATATTGTGTTATTAGTACTCCAGGTGTGCAGAATCCGATCTGGACCGGGTTGCCACAATACATCTCCTGTGGCCTTTTTCAGTATAAACTTGTATTGGATTGCTATGCCAGTAGGAACATCCTATTCAAATTTAAAAACCAATCAAATTTCTGAAATGACGTACAAATTTATACGATTCGCCTGTAAATATATGAAGTAACAATAATTTGCTCTAGTGACACCGAGTTTCAACTCTGTTGGACAAGATCCCGAGTTCTTACACCCCCACTATTGGCACCACCATCATACCCCCAACCTGTCGCTGCCATCACTATTGCCGCCATCATAACCACCACCACCACCATTGCCCTCCCCAAAGCTGTCATCGCCACCACTTTTACTACCATGTTCATTTTTCTTGTTATATACAATTATGCCACTTTTACATTAATTTACCAAAATCTTTTATACTGCTTTTTATACTCAGGACACTTTTAAAAATATAGTTTATCAAATACTCAAGTGATTCATTTTACATTTGATTATTCTTAAAGCATAGCCAAAGTAGTTTTCTTTTTTTTTTCTTTTTTTTTTTTTAAACATATTTTTTTTATAAAAGCGCAGCAATCTCTAACCGACTCCAAATCAATAAGAATTCTTACCAGCTCAATATTCCATATGTTTCCATCTGACCAGTTCATTGGTATAGCATTTGAAGGGTTCCACTGTCCTATGATAGGTTCATTACCCACCAAGAGGAAGCTCTCACCAAACTTGCACTCCTTGTGTAATTGGAATTGGACACGGACAGTTTCTGATTGCTCTGAGAAACGGACACTAATCATCACTCGATATCGGAATTAGGAACTCGTTTGATATCGGAAGAGAAATATTAGTAGATGAAGAGTTAGTTGGTAGTTCATTGTTTAATATGATTAACAGGGTTGAATATAGTAAAATTACCTGTTGGCTGGATCCAAATTCTTGCTGTTTCTGAGGTCGTAAAAACCTGACATGAGTTTTTATAGACGAAGTTGAATTAGAATATCAACTGTGGGAAGGAAAATTACTAAATCGTCGATTTTGAAAACAAATTTTTAATCGGAAATAGAACCCAATAGATATTACGATGTCAATAAAGGTCACTAAACCATCGGATTGGTATGGACAACAGTAATACCTCTGTCTGAGATGAAGCAACCAATTGAAGCGTTTTCTGTCGAAGCAGAGAGGTGGTATGCTGAACGCGTACGTCGGAATTTCGAGACCCAAAAAAGCCAATGTCGGATCGACCCGGAAGAGATTTTGAGGGAGAGAGAAGTTTGTCAGTGTTAGCCTTGGCAAACAAGGTTATGGAGGATCCTGCAAGAGTTTCCATTGTCTTTTTGTCTTTTCGAAAAAGAGAGAGAGAGTCCTAAACTCTGTAAGAAATAAGCACTTGCATATATAAGAGGCATGAGCAAGAAAACTGAGAAGGGTACGGATCTGGCATCAGGTTCTGATGTCCTCAACTGATTGAGAAATTTGGGGCCTTTCCTTGGGCGGATTTTCAGTTTTGCTTTTATATTTTTGTTTGAAGTCTTCAATAATTTAAAAAATATACATATTTCCTGCAAGTTTTGGAGTTGAAAAGCGCTTTTTAGGAAGCCCTTTTTCCAACATATTTGTTCCAAAGAGACAAATTATATGTACAGGATTCCCGTACTTACTCATATCAACACTGATGAAAATGTATTGATGTGTTTGTACGTTTTGTTGGTGACAATGTTATCGACTCATCACCACTGACATATCGGCAATCTGTTTCATAGCCGTACTAATCATTACAACACGTTGATAGGTTTATACACATAAGATGGCCAACAATATGAAAAACTTGTACATGATTTTGTAGGGGGTTTGGGGTTTAGGTTCCAGCAAAGAGCTTGCATCTTCACCAATACACGTTACATGAGCAAAGCCCGTCTCTGAAATTATGAAACCGATATCGATCTCTCAGCAAGATCTCCCTATCATTAACCCTTGATATAAGCTTAGCAGCTGCGTGGCAGTCTCCGCAAACACGAAGATTCTTCACAACCTGAATTGCTTGAGACGGACTTAAGATGATAAGCCCGAATGCAATCCCTAATTTCTCGCTGTGAAGGATTAGGGCATGGTCTTCTTCCTCAACAAACTGCAGTAGATGTGACTTGTTTGGCACGTATCCATTTGACTTCAATCTCTCTGCTATTTCATCCCTTTGAATATATTTCTTTGCACAGAGGGTGAGAGCTATCACCAACTATAAATTCATGAACAATACTGTTGACTTCGGTTGCACTGCAAACCGGTTCTTTCTTAATTCCCGCATCTCGCGTACGCTTCCTTAACCCTGAAACTTCTTCCCATTTCCCTGTCTTGGCATAGATATTTGATAAGAGTACATAAGCTCTGTGGTTACTGGGATCCAACTCAAGCATATGGCTACTCTCCTTTTCGGCAAGTTCAACATTCCAATGAAGTCCACAGGCCCTAAGAAGAGCCCCCCCCATACAGAAGCAGTAGGAGCTATTGGCATTTTCTCTATCAACTCTACAGCTTCCTCCAGATTACCAGAACAACCTAAAATATCGACCATGCAAGCATAGTGCTTTAGACCAGGCACAACCCCGTAAACTGGCTCCATTTGATAGAAAAATGTTCTTCCTTCGTCCACCAATCTGGCGTGCCTACAAGCGCATAACACGTTGGTGAATGTCACGGAATTGGGCTTCACCTTGGTTTTAGCATTGCCAGAGCAGCAAAATCACGGAATTGGGCTTCACCTTGGAGGAGGAGGAGGAGAGGGCACAGACGGTGATAAGCTTGCTGGCGTAGTAGGGGTCGAAGAGAAGGCCTGTACGGAGCATTTGGGCCTGGACTTGCTTCAGCTGCTTGATGCTGGTGCAGTGGTCGATTGAGGAAAGAGATGGGTCGCTTGAGAAATGGAGGTCGTTAGTGGCGGTTGGGGATGGAGGGTTTGGTGGGTGACGTGAGGCAGAGATATAGGGGGGGTGCTTAGAGTTGCCATCTCTCTGTGTAGAGAGATTTTTTTATGCGACCGGAACATGGAGTCACAATAAAAAAATTTCTCCTCTTTTGTGGCCCCTCTCGCACTAGCTGCATTCACTTGAGGTTTTTAAAATTCTCTGAGGTTCTATCTTGTAAAAACGCTTCTTAAGTTCTCTGAGAAGGTTCTACCTCGTGAAAACATTCTTTGGTTTAACATTAATTTTAGTCTGTTGTGACTTAGAAACCATCGATTTTACTTGTTGAGCTGAGAATGCATGACTTATTAATTTATCCAATGAACTATTATGATTGATGTAACCCATGCCAGATTAATTGTAATTTAGGCCAAACTAGTGAACCTATTGAAGTGACTCATTTTGCACTAGAGAAGCCTATGCATGAACAAAGGATTCATTATACCTCATCTAACTACTCCAGATTAGGGGGTAGGTTTAGCTGGGGAAGTTCTAGAAACATTTATACTTTGTGTTGGAAATATTTCACTTAATTTTCTCTGCAGTATTGGACTTTGGCGATATTTATTATGTGCTTTTAGAA